GAAGTAATAAATGAGGAATGGGAGTGTGAGACGAGGAGATGTTTACAGCGAAGGAAAGGAACAGAATCCTGAAGAATTGCAATAATGTTTGGCTGCAGTGGACCACTGGGGTCTGGAGGTGGATCAGCATGTTTACCCATGAGCTAGTAGTATTTGTCCCTTAGTCTCCTGCCTCTGCTTCTCCTCCTGCTACAGGTGGTGATAATGGCGGTGGTGAGTCTGTCAGGTTCAATCATCCACTTGCACTTACAATGGTAGGCCATAGATTGTGATCGAATAAGCAGGAGGAAGTGGAATACGGTTAGATTCTGTTTGTGTGGGCGGTGTAACTTTAGGGTACTTCCTTATGCATTCACCACTCGATGCCATGTTTAGGTGTAAGCGACGCTCTACATCCACTACCCCATTGCTCGCATTTCCACTGACACTTACCTGTTTGGCTGTAAGACGCTGCAGTTGTCCTTGTTGGCGTTGAGGCCGAACTTGGCCTTGGTTAAAACGGACCTTGATCACTAATACGGTAAGCATTACGATGGCTTACAAAAGATCCTACAGTTCTTCGCGATTACTGTATTTCGTGCCCATATGATGCTCGCAGAATCCCTCTCAATGCAATCGCATCATCAAGATGTTGACATTGTGGTCAGCACTGTGTTTCGATGGCACAACTGACAATGCGTATGGGAAGTGAGCTGGGGCATACCAAAAAATGTCTATAGTAAGGCGAACTTGAGGCGGATGGAGAAGTGATGGAGGAGGAGTCAGTGTGAGGAGAGATCATATCAAAAGCTCACCATCATAAATGGCAGTAGGAGACCCAATTTCAGTTTAGTAGAAAGGAAAAGTGAAAGGAGCCGGCAAACTTGAAAAGCATACGCATACGGCTGTGACTTTGTGTATTTTAAAGTTGGTTGTCAAAGCCACACTTGAGGGGAAGAAAGTGGAGCGGGAGGCGTAGACGCTACAGAAAAGAAGAGGGCGAACGGTGACATCATCATCACCATCATCAACAAATACGTCCTACCGGCTGCCAATGGTACTAGTAACAGTAATAGCAGCTTATGCGACTGGACTCGCAACAGTTTCGTTGTGCGCTTGCATGTGCCGAGACAAGGCTAATAGCAGGAGAAGGTGCGTTGGCATATCCCATGTCATAGTAGAAATTGGAATGGGAGGAGAAGAAAATCATAGTGTGCAAAACGGCTCGCTTTGCTGCTAGTCAACATGGCGACACCGCAGACAGGCCAAGAAAGGAACAGTGAGCAAGTGGAAATAATGTAAAGCGAAAGCACCGTTCCAATGCGGTATGTTGTGGAGACTAATGTGATCCCAATCAGTGCTGTCAAAAAGCAAGGGCCTTGCCGACGGCCGGTGGATGATTAGAAAGAAATCATACACACATTCTGATGGGCAAGCTTGCTTACCTACTTCTCCTTCTCAATCTCTGCAGTGAGGTGGGACTTTGTTAGCGACAGCACACCACAAATACGCCACTGTGTGATAAAGTGGCGTTGCAATGTAGTGGCAAAACGCCTCTTCCGAACTAATAACATAATGACCATTTAATAATATCGGTAATTGAGTGTTATTACACGCCACGAAATATGAGTTAGCTTAAGTGTTCTCGCCTTGCATCAAGGCGATGGAGCAGAAAGAATTGAGCATTGGCGAGGTGTGCT